CGATTTTTTGAAAATGACAAGAATTATTTATCAGAAAATAATAAGAACATCATTGTGTTAAAATGTTGTTATCTCAAAAACTAAAAATGATTTTCCAAAACGGATTTCATCATTAAAAAGCTGACACTTTTCCATATAAGTCATCAAATTTTCAAAGCAATTTTGTGATAAATCTATTTTTGGTGATATTAATAAAAAGTTCGATAAAAATTGTTATCTTCTAAATAGTAATAGTAATTAAAAAAATTGTATCTCAAAAACTAAAAGATATTTTGAGAAACGATCTTTTTCATTGAAAAGCTAACATTTTGTTTTATAAATGCTGATAATTTCATTACGATTTATTAAAACCTCGATTTATTACAATTTTTTGAAAATGAGACAAAAATTGAAAGTGAAAAATATGATTGTGTTTAAAAGTTGATATCTCAAAAACTAAAAACAATTTCCAAAAACGGATTTCATCATTAAAAAGATGATACTTTTCTATATAAGTCATCAAATTTTCAAAGTAATTTTGTGATAAATCTATTTTCTGTGATATTAATAAAAAGTTCGATAAAAATTGTTATCTTCTGAATAGTAATAGTAATTAAAAAAAATTGTATCTCAAAAACTAAACGGGATTTTGAAGAACGGTCTTTTTCATTGAAAAGCTAATAATTTGTTTTATAAATGGTGATAATTTCATGACGATTTATTAAAATCCCGATTTATTACAATTTTTTGAAAATGAGACCAAAATTGGAAGTGAAAAATATGATTGTGTTTAAAAGTTGATATCTCAAAAACTAAAAACAATTTCCAAAAACGGATTTTATCATTAAAAAGATGATACTTTTCTATATAAGTCATCAAATTTTCAAAGTAATTTTGTGATAAATCTATTTTCTGTGATATTAATAAAAAGTTCGATAAAAATTGTTATCTTCTGAATAGTAATAGTAATTAAAAAAAATTGTATCTCAAAAACGAAACTTGCTTTTGAAAGACGGTCTTTTTCATTGAAAAGCTAACAATTTGTTTTATAAGTGATGATAATTTCATGAAGATTTATTAAAACCCCGATTTATTACGATTTTTTTAAAATAACACAAGAATTGAAAGGCAAAAACATGTTCGTGTCTAAATATTGATATCTAGAAAACTAAAAATGATTTTTCAAAACAGATTTCATCACTAAAAAGCTGACACTTTTTCATATCATTCATGAAGTTATGAAAACAATTCTATGAAAAGTCTGTTTTGTACGATATTTTTAAAAAGTTCGATAAAAATTGTTAATTTCCAGAAAGATTGTAGTTAAAAAAAATAATATCTCAAAAACTAAAAGATATTTTGAGAAACGATCTGCTTCATTGAAAAGCTAACATTTTGTTTTATAAATGCTGATAATTTCATTACGATTTATTAAAACCCCGATTTATTACAATTTTTTGAAAATGAGACAAAAATTGAAAGTGAAAAATATGATTGTGTTTAAAAGTTGATATCTCAAAAACTAAAAACAATTTCCAAAAACGGATTTCATCATTAAAAAGATGATACTTTTTTATATAAGTCATCAAATTTTCAAAGTAATTTTGTGATAAATCTATTTTCTGTGATATTAATAAAAAGTTCGATAAAAATTGTTATGTTCTGAATAGTAATAGTAATTAAAAAAAATTGTATCTCAAAAACGAAACTTGCTTTTGAAAGACGGTCTTTTTCATTGAAAAGCTAATAATTTGTTTTATAAATGGTGATAATTTCATAAAGATTTATTAAAACCCCGATTTATTACGATTTTTTTAAAATAACACAAGAATTGAAAGTGAAAAACATGATTGTGTTTAAAAGTGGATATCTCAAAAACTAAAAATGATTTTCCAAAGCGGATTGCATTATTAAAAAGATGACACTTTTTCATATAGTTCATAAAATTATAGAAACAGTTCTATAAGAAGTTTGTTTTTTACGATATATTTAAAAAGTTCGATAAAAATTGTTAATTTCCAGAAAGATTGAAGTTAAAAAAAATTGTATCTCAAAAACTAAATGATATTTTGAAAAACGGCATTTTTCATTGAAAAGCCAACAATTTGTTTTATAAATGCTGATAATTTCATGACGGTTTATTACAACCCCGATTTATTACGATTTTTTGAAAATGACACAAGACTTGAAAGTGAAAAATATGATTGCGTTTAAAAAGTGATATCTCAAAAACTAAAAGATATTTTTAAAAGCGGCCTTCTTCATTGAAAAGCCAATAANTTTATTACGATTTTTTTAAAATAACACAAGAATTGAAAGGCAAAAACATGTTCGTGTCTAAATATTGATATCTAGAAAACTAAAAATGATTTTTCAAGACAGATTTCATCACTAAAAAGCTGACACTTTTCCATATAAGTCATCAAATTTTCAAAGCAATTTTGTGATAAATCTATTTTTGGTGATACTAATAAAAAGTTCGATAAAAATTGTTATCTTCTGAATAGTAATAGTAATTAAAAAAATTGTATCTCAAAAACTAAACGGAATTTTGAAGAACGGTCTTTTTCTTTGAAAAGCCAACAATTTGTTTTATAAATGGTGATAATTTCATGGCGATTTATTAAAACCTCGATTTATTACGATTTTTTTAAAATAACACAAGAATTGAAAGGTAAAAACAAGTTCGTGTCTAAATATTGATATCTCGAAAACTACAAATGATTTTTCAAAACAGATTTCATCACTAAAAAGCTGACACTTTTTCATATCATTCATGAAGTTATGAAAACAATTCTATGAAAAGTCTGTTTTGTACGATATTTTTAAAAAGTTCGATAAAAATTGTTAATTTCCAGAAAGATTGAAGTTAAAAAAAATTGTATCTCAAAAACTAAAAGATATTTTGAGAAACGATCCGTTTCATTGAAAAGCTAACATTTTGTTTTATAAATGCTGATAATTTCATGACGATTTATTAAAATCTCGAATTATTACGATATTTTGAAGATGATATAAAAATTGTTTATCGTAAAATAATAAGAGCATCATTGGGTTTAAAAGTTGATATTTCAAAAATTAAAAATGATTTTCCAAAACGGATTTCATCATTAAAAAGCTGACATTTTTCCCTATAAGTCATCAAATTTTCAAAGCAATTTTATGATAAATCTGTTTTCTGTGATATAAATAAAAAGTCCGATAAAAATTGTTATCTTCTAAATAGTGATGGTAATTAAATAAATTGTATCTCTAAACCTAAACGAGATTTTGAAGAGTGGTCTTTTTCATTGAAAAGCTAACAATTTGTTTTATAAATGGTGATAATTTCATGACGATTTATTAAAACCCCGATTTATTACAATTTTTTGAAAATGAGACCAAAATTGAAAGTGAAAAATATGATTGTGTTTAAAAGTTGATATCTCAAAAACTAAAAATAATTTCCAAAAACGGATTTCATCATTAAAAAGATGATACTTTTTTATATAAGTCATCAAATTTTCAAAGTAATTTTGTGATAAATCTATTTTCTGTGATAGTAATAAAAAGTTCGATAAAAATTGTTATCTTCTGAATAGTAATAGTAATTAAAAAAAATTGTATCTCAAAAACTAAACGGGATTTTGAAAGACGGTCTTTTTCATTGAAAAGCTAACAATTTGTTTTATAAATGGTGATAATTTCATAAAGATTTATTAAAACCCAGATTTATTACGATTTTTTGAAAATGGCATTGTTTATCGTAAAAATTGTATCTCAAAAACTAACTGATATTTTGAAAAACGGCATTTTTCATTGAAAAGCCAACAATTTGTTTTATAAATGCTGATGATTTCATGACGGTTTATTACAACCCCGATTTATTACGATTTTTTGAAAATGACACAAGACTTGAAAGTGAAAAATATGATTGCGTTTAAAAAGTGATATCTCAAAAACTAAAAGATATTTTTAAAAGCGGCCTTCTTCATTGAAAAGCCAATAATTTGTTTTGTAGATAGTAATAATTTCATAATAATTTCATTACAACCCCAATTTATTATGTTTTCTTGAAAGCGACCCAAAAATTGAAAGTGAAAAACATGTTCGTGTTTAAAAGTTGATATCTCAAAAACTAAAAATGATTTTCCAAAACGGATTACATCATTAAAAAGATGACACTTCATTATATTATTATGAAAACAATTCTATAAGAAGTCTGATTTGTACGATATTTTAAACAGTTCGATAAAAATTGTTAACTTCCAGAAATGTAATTGAAGTTAAAAAAAAGTTTATCTCAAAAACTAAAAGATATTTTGAAAAACGCCTTTTTTCATTGAAAAGCTGACATTTTGTTTTATAAATGGTGATAATTTCATGACGATTTATTAAAACCCCGATTTATTACGATTTTTTGAAAAATTACGTAAGAATTGAAAGTGTAAAACATGATCGTATCTAAGTATTAATATCTCAAAAACTAAAAATGATTTTTTAAAACGGATTTCATTTCTAAAAACTTGAAACATTTATTTAACAATTATCTCCCGTAATATTATCTTTAATATAACTCCTGAGGATGTTACGTGATACCATCGAAACCAGTATAAACTGAATTTTATTTATTATGAATTAAATTATATATTATTTTATGTTTCCAAAATCTTGGACGATATTTACAAATACAAGAAGTAAAACAACTCAATTAGTCCCACCTTAATTCAAAATAAGAAGTAAGACTTCAAGAGTGTTTTCAAACTGTTTTTATATTGTTGTTGGACTTGTTGATTTAAAAAAAAATTAATCGAGAAGAAATCTGTTGAATGGAAATTTAAAAAATCATTTTTCAAAAAATATAAATCTCAAAATTAAATAACCGCCCAAGAAAACTTCATCAAACTACAATTAATAACACTATATTTACAAACACACCGTTACCACGTTAGGATAAAAAGGGGCCCCCCGAAACCAATCGGGAAACAGTACCATTGAAGAAAAAAGAGTGGTGGGGTTATTCAATATAAAATCTAACCACCCTTACATAGGATTTAGTGTTCAAAAAAAGTTGGTGTCGTGGTTGTTAAAATTAAAAACACCCAATTTAAGTTCAGTTTTCTTCGTTTAATTTCGTTTTGGATTAATTTAATTTTTTAAAAAATGGTAAGAAATCAAAATTTAATCATAATTTTTTTTTTCTTAATTCATAATCTTAATTCGTAGATGAATCATCTTCATTTAACCTCTTTCGATAACGTTTACGATGATTCTTCAGACTCCGGCTTTGAAATGTCTTTTAAATCCGAAACGACCGATTTTAACGATGATCGCAGCGACTTTTTCGAATACGATTTAGATCCAAACACTTCAACCCCAAAGAAAAAGAAATACCCCGAATACACCGACTTAAACACGCCGGAGAAACAAATTTTGTACGAACGATTTCAAGGTGCCTTCCAAGAAAGCTTAATTAATTTCGATCGAAAATACGATTATAATAATTATAATCATCAAACGCAACACCAACAATACGAAAATCAACATCATCAACCCAATTATGGTGTCAATCGAAATCTTTTTGAGCACCCCGAAAAAGATTTTATGGAATTCGTTGATGATAAAAATAAAAACACTTCAACTCCGGTTAAAGATAAAGATTTAAAGCAAAAACGAAGATATGCAAGTGGAAGAAATCGCATGTCTAGGGCGAAAAGTCCTAATCAAATTATGAAAATTAAAAAGAATCGTCGATTAAAAGCTAATGATCGCGAAAGAAACCGGATGCACATGTTAAATGAAGCTTTAGATAAATTACGTTGTGTTTTACCAACATTTCCTGAAGATACTAAATTAACGAAAATTGAAACTTTAAGATTCGCCCATGGTTATATTTATGCGTTAGCGCAAGCTTTAAATGATGGGGTTTATACCGGTTTGGACGATAATGTTGTTGTGAATGTTGGAAATGTGACTGTTTCGATAAATAAAAATGGAAATAGTATAACAACAAAAAATTGTAATCTCCAACAATATCCCAATGCTGTAGTTACAAGCGGAAGTATAACTAACGCTAGTTTTATGGCGGATTACAACAGTTATAAACAAGAAGATGTTTATCAAAATGAAGGTTTTTATTCCGATGCGAGTCAAATGAGAGGTTTTGAGAATTGTAACGAATTTTATGATCATAGGATGCCAATACCTAACGGAATAATGTATGAAAATCTTTAAATTTTATATAATTTAAGAAGACAAAGTGGTGCCTGATTAGTCTAGTCAATTACAATGAAAGAATGTGATTTTGTTTTATTTTTCTTTTTATTTGTATAATGTAAAAAAAATATTTTTTATAAATAGATTTTTATATGTATTTTTTTATAATACATCAATTTTTATAATAAAATTTTTGTAAATTTAAAATATAAATAAATATAAAGAAATAATTGGTTTTGTATTAATTTTTTTTTCCTATAAAAGGTGTAAAAACCTTGTCTCTCCGATTTCACGATCAAATCGTAAGGGCAGCTGCCTTAATCAACCGACCAGAACAACCCCTACAATCTACAATAGAACGAAATAAAATAGTGGGGTGCCCAGGTTCTGATTTAAATCGTACCATACATTTCTTTTACAGTTAACGAGCACACAAACACTACAAAATAATCTATATTTTGAACATTTTTAAAAAATTTTAGTTACTTAAAAAATGTTTGAAGTGGTTATTTTAAATTATTTAAAAAGTTTTAAAGTACTGTTCTATTTTTCTTGTGTAGACGGGGATAGAAAGGTTGGGGTTGATGCAAGCTACTTCAAAACTGTTATATTTTGTAGTGCCGGAGTCAAATTTTACGGGGTGGGGTCGATTGAATGGCATGTTTATGTTGCGAGGGGTGAAATGGGCTAGTAAGCACAGCACCTGTTAATCGCTGAGATTTTTAAAAATGTTTTAAGGTCATAAAATAAATAAGTCGATTCGAATACTATTAAATTATTTAAATTTTAAATATTAAGTGAATTTAAAGCTATCCTCTAGTTCTTCCATCCCACATGCTCCTATGATTTTATGATTAAGCAGAGAATTTGTGCCTTTTGTAAATGCCTTGCGTGGTAATTGTGATTGCAGCTTAATAAGCTTTAGATAAGTAAATATATAAAGAAGGAAGTGTTAATACGTTGAGCTCAATGAGTAACATAGTTAGAGTAAGATGAATATCTCCCACACAGTATAGCACAAGCCATTATAGAAGAGCTTAATTATAGAAGAAGCTAGGGCATCAACAGATTAATTGTGTTTTATTATGTCTTAATGTTTCAAAAATCACCACTCACAATAACGAATGTAAATGTCTTACAATTAGAAAAAATATCCGCAAAGAAAACATCAGCTGTTACTGATGTTGCTGCAGTCTAGAATTTCAGTCAAAAATAAACAGAAGCTTGAAACGAGAAAATGCAAAAAGCAGCATCCAGTCAAAAATTATACATTTAAATATACAATTTCGTATGATATGCAAGTTATACCTGTTTCAAAAGTCTGTTTTGTACGATATTTTTAAAACGTTCGATAAAAATTGTTAACTTCCATAAAGATAATTGAAGATAAAACAAATTATATCTCAAAAACTAAAAGATATTTTGAGAAACGATCTGAACAGTGATGGTAATTAATAAATTGTATCTCAAAAACTACATTTCGGGATTTTGAAGAACGATCTTTTTCATTGAAAAGCTAACAATTTGTTTTATAAATATTGTTAATTTCATGATGATTTATTAAAACACCGATTTATTACGAGTTTTTGAAAATGACACAAACATATTGAAAGTGAAAAATATGATTGTGTTTAGAAATTGATATTTCAAAAACTAAAAATGATTTTCCAAAACGGATTGTATGATTAAAAAGATGACACTTTTTCATATCATTCATAAAATTATGAAAACAATTCCATAAAAAGTCTGTTTTGTACGATATTTTTAAAACGTTCGATAAAAATTGTTAATTTCCAGAAAGATTGAAGTTGAAAAAAAATTTATCTCAAAAACCAAAAGATATTTTGAAAAACTGTCTTTTTCATTGAAAAGCTAATAATTTTTTTTATAAATGGTAATAATTTCATGACGATATATTAAAACCCCGATTTATTACGATTTTATGAAAATGACATAAAAATTATTTACCGTAAAATAATGAGGGCTAAATAGAAGTTGATATCTCAAAAACCAAAAATGATTTTCCAAAACGGATTTCATCATTGAAAAGGTGATACTTTTCCATATAAGTCATCAAATTTTCAAAGCAATTTTGTGATAAAGCTGTTTTCTGTGATATTAATAGTGTTCTATAAAAATGGTTATCTTTTGAATAGTAATAGTAATTAAAAAAATTGTATCTCAAAAACTAAAAGGAATTTTAAAGAACGGTCTTTTTCATTAAAAAGCTAACAATTTGTTTTATAAATGCTGATAATTTCATGACGATTTCTTAAATCTCCGATTTATTACGATTTATTGAAAATGACACAAGAATTTAAAGTGAAAAATATGATTGTGTTTAAAAATTGATATCTCAAAAACTAAAAATAATTTCTGAAAACGGATTTCATCATTAAAAAGATGATACTTTTCTATATAAGTCATCAAAATTTTAAAGCAATTTTGTGATAAATCTATTTCCTGTGATATTATTAAAAAGTTTGATAAAGATTGTTATCTTCTGAATAGTAATGGTAATTAAATAAATTGTATCTCAAAAACTAAACGGTACTTTGAAGAATGGTCTTTTTATCGAAAAGCTAACATTTTGTTTTATAAATGGTGATAATTTCATGACGATTTCTTAAATCTCCGATTTATTACGATGTATTGAAAATGACACAAGAATTGAAAGTGAAAAATATGATTGCTTTTAATAATTGATATCTCAAAAACTAAACGGTATTTTGAAGAATGGTCTTTTTCATTGAAAAGCTAACATTTTGTTTTATAAATGGTGATAATTTCATGAGAATTTATTAAAACCCCGATTTATTACGATTTTTTGAAAATGACATAAGAATTGTTTACCATAAAATGATGGGAACATCATTGTGTTTAAGAATAAATATCTCAAAAATTAAAGATAATTTTCGAGAACGGATTTCATTGTTAAAAAGATGACACTATTCCATATCATTCCAAAGACGATTCAGTGATAAACCTGTTTCGCATGATAATTAAAAAAAAAATCGATAAATATTATTAACTTCGAGAATGGTAGTTGTAATTAAAACAATATATCTCAAAAACTAAAAGATATTTTGAAAAATGGGTGTTTGCATTGAAAAGTTAACAATTTACTTTATAAATGGTGATAATTTCATGACGATGTACTAAAACCTCGATTTATTACGATTTTTTAAAAATAACANCTAAAAGATATTTTGAAAAATGGGGGTTTGCATTGAAAAGTTAACAATTTACTTTATAAATGGTGATAATTTCATGACGATGTACTGAAACCTCGATTTATTACGATTTTTTGAAAATGTGATCAAAATTGAAAGTGAAAAACATGATCATGTTTAAAAATTGATATCTCGAAAACTAAAAAAGATTTTCCAAAACAGATTTCGTCATTAAAAAGATGACAATTTTTTATATGATTCATAAAATTATTAAAACAATTCTATAAAAAGCATGTTTTGTACGATATTTTTAAAACGTTCGATAAAAACTGTTCATTTTCAGAAAGATAATTGAAGCTAAAAAGTTGTATCTCAAAAACTAAAAGATATTTTGAGAAACGATCTTTTTCATTAAAAAGCTAACCATTTATTTTATAAACGATGATAATTTCATGACGATTTATTAAAACCCCGATTTATTACGATTTTTTGAAAATGACAATTTTTTAAAAGAATTGTTTACCGTAAAATAATGGAACATCCTTGTGTTTAAAAGTTAATATCTTAAAAATTAAAAATAATTTTCGAAAACGGATTTTATGATTAAAAAGGTGATGCTTTTCCATATAAGTCATTAAATTTTCAAAGCAATTTTGTGATAAATCTGTTTCCTGTGATATTAATAAAAAGTTCGATAAAAATTGTTATCGTTTGAGTAGTAATAGTAATTACAAAAATTGTATCTCAAAAAATAAACGGGATTTTGAAGAACGGTCTTTTTCCTTGAAAAGCTAACAATTTGTTTTATAAATGCTGATAATTTCATGACGATTTTCTTGAAACCCCGATTTATCTAATAGTCGATGGACTTTCAGATGAACCAGGTTTGTTTCAACAGGACGGCCCGTAGGACTATTTTTTAATTATTATATTTTAAATAATATATAAAAATCAATAATAATACAATATTCTTCACAAAAAGAAGTAAGCAAGACCAAATCAATGCAGCTCAATGCATATCAATTTTATTGTTAAAATAAATTTATATCAAAACAAATTTATGCAGCAAGTGTATTAATTGCCAAAACGTTAAGCAACCTTACTTGTACCTTCCAAAAATGATTTACATGCAACCAAAGTTAAATAGTAAAGCAACTGATTATGTTTTCATTGTTGATACTAAAATGATATTGTATATTTTCCTGAATAACTGAAAAACATTACGTCTAATTAAACTTTCTGAATAATAAAAATAATTTAATTTAAAATCTATTTTCAAGCAAACAATTTGTGTTTTGTTGATTACTTTTTTATAAAAAATAACCGTTATTCTGAAACTTGATATTGCAACTTCTAAATTGTAAAGAAAACACATAAAATAATCCTACTTAAAATTCAGCATCTCTTTTCAACTATCATCTTCACCCGACAATCAATGTTCTAACAAGGACTTCATAACGGGGAGCTTCGTAAGGGTTCCACTGGGAGAACCCGCCGATAATTCTAACCCATTGTCTTCCCTAACAAGAGAAAGAGAGAGTTTTCGCCATGAACGAAAGTTCAGCAGACCGTAAGCTCGCTCCTCTATTATCCTTTATCCAAAACTCGAACAACGGGTATCCGATGACTAATAATAAACGATATTCCACCCGAGAGCGTAATAGTATTTTTATTAGTTCTTTATTGCGAATATTATTTTTTAAACCATAATACCGTAATAATACGGTTTAAGTATCTTGATAAGGATCGAAGGATAAACGTATCGGTGAGAAGACACGTGTCGGAAGTGTCAAAGGAAAGTTATACGGAAAATACGGACACGCGTCGGAAATTGATGGCACGTGATGGTTGGTGGAAATGACACGTGTCTTCTTGAGGGCAATTAGGGGGTGTTATTAGTCTTTTTATGCAAGTGGGGATTATGATAGATATTCTGGTTGTTGT